ATGCAAGCTTTGACACTGATCCGGACGATTCTAAATCGCAAACTGGATACATATTTACATTGAACGGTGGAGCTGTCAGTTGGTGCAGTTCTAAACAAAGCGTCGTGGCGGGATCTACGTGTGAAGCGGAATACATAGCTGCTTCGGAAGCAGCAAATGAAGGAATCTGGATGAAGGAGTTCATATCCGATCTAGGTGTCATACCCAGTGCATCGGGTCCAATGAAAATCTTTTGTGACAATACTGTAGCAATAGCCTTGGCAAAGGAATCCAGATTTCACAAGAGAACCAAGCACATCAAGAGACGCTTCAATTCCATCCGGGATCTAGTCCAGGTGGGAGACATAGAAATTTGCAAGATACATACGGATCTGAATGTTGCAGACCCGTTGACTAAGCCTCTACCACGAGCAAAACATGATCAGCACCAAGACTCCATGGGTGTTAGAATCATTACTGTGTAATCTAGACTATTGACTCTAGTGCAAGTGGGAGACTGAAGGAAATATGCCCTAGAGGCAATAATAAAGTTATTATTTATTTCCTTATATCATGATAAATGTTTATTATTCATGCTATAATTGTATTATCCGGAAACATAATACTTGTGTGAATACATAGACAAACAGAGTGTCACTAGTATGCCTCTACTTGACTAGCTCGTTGATCAAAGATGGTTATGTTTCCTAGCCATAGACATGTGTTGTCATTTGATTAACGGGATCACATCATTGGAAGAATGATGTGATTGACTTGACCCATTCCGTTAGCTTAGCACTCGATTGTTTAGTATGTTGCTATTGCTTTCTTCATGACTTGTACATGTTCCTATGACTATGAGATTATGCAACTCCCATTTACCGGAGGAACACTTTGTGTGCGACCAAACGTCACAACGTAATTGGGTGATTATAAAGGTGCTCTACAGGTGTCTCCGAAGGTACTTGTTGGGTTAGCGTATTTCGAGATTAGGATTTGTAACTCCGATTGTCGGAGAGGTATCTTTGGGCCCACTCGGTAATGCACATCACTTAAAGCCTTGCAAGCATTGCAACTAATGAGTTAGTTGCGGGATGATGTATTATGGAACGAGTAAAGAGACTTGCCGGTAACGAGATTGAACTAGGTATTGAGATACCGATGATCGAATCTCGGACAAGTAACATAACGATGACAAAGGGAACAACGTATGTTGTTATGCGGTTTGACCGATAAAGATCTTCGTAGAATATGTGGGAGCCAATATGGGCATCCAGGTCTCGCTACTGGTTATTGACCGGAAACGTGTCTCGGTCATGTCTACATAGTTCTCGAACCCGTAGGGTCCGCACGCTTAACGTTTCGTTGACGATATAGTATTATATGAGTTATGTATATTGGTGACCGAATGTTGTTCGGAGTCCCGGATGAGATCATGGACATGACGAGGAACTCCGAAATGGTCTAGAGATAAAGTTTGATATATGGGATAATAGTGTTTGATCTCCGGAAGGGTTCCGGAATTCACTGGAAGGGGTTCCGGATGTTTCCCGAAATGTTTGGGTACGAGAACACGTTATTTGGGCCAAAGGGGAAAGCCCACGAGGCTTTTGGAAAGTGCAAAAGGAAGTTTTGCGGAGACCAAAGGCTAGACGCCAGGAACCCTGGCGTCTAGGGGGTAGACGCCAGGAACCCTGGCGTCTAGCCCCGGAGTCCGTGTAGGACTCTTGCCTTTCGGGCAAAACCGACTTTGAGGAGGCTTTTACTCCAAGTTTCGCCCCCAGGGCTCAACATATAAATAGAGGGGCAGGGTTAGCACCAATGACACATCAAGAAACACCAAGCCGTGTGCCGACAACCCCGTCCCCTCTAGTTTATCCTCCGTCATAGTTTCCATAGTGCTTAGGCGAAGCCCTGCGGAGATTGTTCTTCACCAACACCATCACCACGCCGTCGTGCTGCCGGAACTCATCTACTACTTTGCCCGTCTTGCTGGATCGAGAAGGTGAGGACGTCATCGAGCTGAACGTGTGCATCGTGAAGACGTACGACTACATCATCCGCGTTGATAAACGCTTCCGCTTAGCGATCTTCAAGGGTATGAAGATACACTCCCCCTCTCGTTGCTATGCATCACCATGATCTTGCGTGTGCGTAGGAATTTTTTTTGAAATTACTACGTTCCCCAACAGCTCCACACTAAGTGCAAACTGTATGATATAATTCCTGTGATGCTTGTCCCAATGCTTGACCTTCCGCTGCCTTCTCCTATCAAACCTGCAAGTTAGAAACAGAATATTAGCACCATCGAAACCGCCGAGAAGCTGCTAAGTGCTCAAGGTTGATTATATCTTACGCGTGTAAACACTTGTCCGTGTCCTCCCACTTCGGCGGGTGTGGCTGGAACAAACCGAATTGGCGGTACACCTGATGTGGCGGGTGAAGCTCAACCGCCCAGTTGCATATGAGTGGGCACCACATATGCCTAAGATCCCTATCCCTAAGGCACATCGGATTCAGCACAAAGTCTCTAAGGTTACCAAAACTATCCCCTTTTCCATACGGCTCCCATTCCACCTGCAACATAGCATAGAATGCAAAATTGATTATGAGTTACAATAGAAGCATGAGAATCACTTAACAATGTCGAGTCACCTGTTCAGCCATGATCGTGTCCAGCTCGCTCTTGTACAACTTGTACACGACCGAGGGATTATCCGTCGTCTCATTTACCACATCCCACTTGTAAGCCCAAGTGGGGTACCGTAGTGGGTCGTCATGGTCGTTCCAATCCTCGTACTTCATGGTCTTCGGTCGTCTAACCGGCAATCGCTCCCAGCTCCATATAGAAAGTGCAAGCATACAACCACCAATACCTCCTGATTTCCTACAAGAGGCTTCATCCAACTGCACATAAAAGAGAACATGGTTGAATTAACAAGAAGATTGCATTGATAATGTAGCAATGAAGTGAAAAAGAAACAACTTTCTACCTGTCTATACAAGTAAGCCAGTGTCGCCGAACCCCAACTCCATTTGCTATCGAAGATGGTCAACGCCTTCAGCCACATCCATGGAGCATTCTTGCCCGTGCCATTAGCAAACATAGTCCTGGATATAACGTACCACATGTAGACACGAGCATATGTCTTGGCCTCATCCTCATTAGCCTTCTCGGGGCAATTAGCAAAGTTCCATGCAACCCAGGTGAAAGGAGCACCGGCTGCGACTCTTTCCTTCTTCTTGTCTTCTGCTGCTGGTTGCCGAGGCTCCGGAGGAACCATACCGATAAGGGCATGCATCTGCTCGCGCCACCCATCTGAATCGGTGCTCATACATAGAGGATTACCCTCGATAGGAAGACCGGTGATCATAGCAATATCCTGGAGTGTCACGGTCATCTCCCCGGTCCGAAGATGGAAACTGTGTGTCTCCGGCCGCCAACGATCAGTAAGCGCGGTGATTGCTGCAACATTGAGGGGTGGCGTCGACCGGCTGACCAATTGAATGAAAGGGAGGAGTCCTGTCTCCCACATACGGTGTGTATCGCTCATCATATCGCATCCCCGAAAGGTTGACCCCGTGAGATCGAAGCTTCAGAGGTTGAAGCTCCTACAAACAAGCAAATCAGAAAATTACATATGGGGCATTTGTCTTTGAAATAAACACGAAATTCATAATATCGGCCACTTTCATTATTACCTGCTGCTGCACCGACAAAGCGTACGACTGGTGTTGATGGTCCCAGTGATCATCGAGAAGGCAAACCATCCTAACAATTTCAAACAAAGCATTCTTGTCAACACGATTATCTTTTCAATACAAATAAACTAAAGTAGGCCTACTATATGCAAGATTCAAAGCATATGTATCCAAAACATTCTTGTCAATACGAGTATAATTTCAATACAAATAAACTAACCCTACTTCATACAAATATCCTTTCCATAGAAATAACATGTCAACCTATGTATCCAACCATACCTTTTCAATAAAATAAACTAAACTAGGGTTCCCCAAATCAAACAAACTAGGGTTCTAATACATGCAAGATTCAAATCAAATCAAATCAAACAAGGGTTCCCCAAATCTTCAAAATAGCATACTTTCTATGGATAGAAAGAAGGGGACCGGAGGAGAGTACCTTCTAGGATGGATTGGTGAAGAAATCCACGGACCAAATCGTCAGATATGAAGGATTTGGGAGAGGGGATTGAGAGGGGGAGAGGAGGAAGCCGACGGCGCCACTGTTCTGTAACTCCTGGAACAAATGGGTGAGGTGGGAGGAGGGGGAGCGGGCGACTGGCATCTAAGTCATAGTGCAGCGCCTAAGGGCTAGGCGCTGCACATTACATGTGTGGTGCCTAGCTCGGAGACGCTGCACTGCTTGGGTGCGGGCCCAGAGGCTGCCACGATGGACAGGTGTGCAACGCCCCAGAGCTGGGCGCTGCACCGTAGGGTGTGGCGCCTGCGTGTCGCGCGCCACTCAAAAAGGTTAGGCGCGTGAAATAGTTTTAGGGTCAGTTCATTTCGTGAATTCATTGCGTCCACAGGTCAAAATTGTCAATTTTGCCTGCCCTAACGGCAGTGGCGGCTCCAGGAATTTGCAACCGGATATTCATTTGTATTCATTTTGCCAAAATCATTGTTGTTTTTCAAAAATTGTAACTCTTTTGTCAAAATCAACACTGTTTTGTAAAAATCACGGGTGTTCACATGAAGACCGAAGAATACCCCTAGCACGGCCCCTGCCTAACGGCAGGGTGGCAATACACATGGCACCATGTCGGCTGTAGGCAGGAAGACAGCCGGTGGCTAGAGGTTAAAGACGACTGGAAGCCCTTGGATTGAAATCTTACGGTGGCTAGAAAATGACTGCACGATACCGAATTGTGCTCCAGCCCCCAGGCGCTCTCCTCCTTTTCCCCCTCACTCTATTCCTCTGCTCCGCCACCAGGGGGTGGTGGCGCACCGCCATTGAACAAAACCCCTCAACCCAGATCGGAAACCAATCCGCCGCCATGTCCTCCTCCAACGACGCCCCCGTCAGCCCTCGCTCCCAGGTACGCCAGGCCGGGCTGAATTTCCCAAGTTCCTCCCTCAATTTCGGTTGACGAATCCCCCTTCTCTGGCGCGCGCAGCTCGTGCTGAGCTGCTTCGAGGAGCTCCTCGACTTCGCGGTGGCGGACGTGGCGTCGGAGTGCCACCGCATCGCGCGCCTAGGCCTCGACCGCAGCGTCGACGCCGAGGAGGAGGAGCTCCGCCTCTGGGCCGCGCGCGTCGCCGGCGACCACCCCGGCGCCGAGGACGGGGCCACCCGCGGGGCCGGGGGAGGAGGGGGGAACAAGGGCGCGCCCGACGTCTTCGGGCAGACGCACCCCGCCATCGCCGCCGACGTCGTCGACTGCATGAACTGCGGCCGCCCCGTCGTCGCGGGCCGCTTCGCCCCGCACCTCGAGAAGTGCATGGGCAAGGTAAACCCGTCATCTGTTCCGGGCATCTGCGATCGACGCTGGTGCCCCAAATCTCATTGTCGTCCCCCTTTAGTATCAGAAGAAGTGGTAGACCGTTTTAATTGTTGCGGATAGGCTAGCTGGTACTCGCTCCGTCTCAAAATAAGTGTCTCAGCTTTATACTAACTCTAGTATAAAGTTGTATTAAGGTTGAGACACTTATTTTGGTACTGAGGTGTTATGTTTCTGATCTGAGTGTCGTGATGCGCTTCCTCATTAATTTGAAATGAGTATGTTTCCTCATGACCCTCAAGAAAGTTAGATTCTTTTTTTTTTTTGCGTTCAAAGAAAGTTAGATTCTGCTCCCTATGTTCAGTTTGTCTGTTGATTGATTAGCTAAAGGTTGATTTGAGCCCTCTTAACTCTGTAAATGTTCAGTTGCAACCTTAAAACCAATCACAAAGTTGACTTGGTCCATGTACGAGTTAAATAGCCTACTGTCTATTGAACTTTTCATGTGTATATTAACTAGTTACTTCTATATACAGGTATGTGTCATTTCACAACAAAAGATATGGTGTACTGCTGCTAAATTAATAAAGTTAAAATTGCATTAAAATAACTTCAAAGTTACAGTGCTTCACAGAAGAAGAACAATGTGTACATTTAATGATTTCAAACCATTCCATTAATGCTGTATCTCAAACCAGGCACTTCAACTTTGAATTCAGCTAATAAATAATGTGAAAGAATCTATGAACTAAATAATGGATATTTCTGTTATGATAATTACCATTTCAATGTCTTCCGCGGATGTCACTATGGACAAACCATTAGTCCCACTGGAAGGAAACTGGCAACTCCTTTACAGCCCATGCAGTGGTGGGTCCCAAATGTTCAAGATGTGCTGTAGCGGTAGAATAACATGCTAATGTTTCTGCTTACATTGGTATGTATTCAGTTATTCAAGACTTCTACCAGTTATGCCTGATTTGCAAATACACATGCAATGTCAACTCGGCCACAAATATTATTCACAGTTAGCTTTGGAACTTATTTAAGTATTGCACTCGTTCGGCTTTTTGTGATTGTTGAGAGACTTGATACATCAGGAAGCTCATGTACATAATATAATGTTCTTCACAATTATTCCTGCATTCATCATGTTTTGCTGATGCAGAATTAACTATTCTCCGTTGCTGATGCAGAATTAACTATTCGCCGATCTTCCATGTTGGCGTGGATAGAGAATTCTAGATTTTCTACATCATGACATTGTTTAAAATGATCCACTAGCATGAAAATTTACCTCTCATATTTTGTGAGTATTCACTAAAATCTGTATCGTCAATCGTCCTTTGAAGTCTTAGCCACCAAAATTGCCAAATGATGCCATCTCTGTTCGAGCGGTTTTAATTCTGAATGCTGGACTCTGTTTGCACAATTTGTACAAATTTTGATTTCAATAAAGATGGAATTGGGGCGTAGGTTTAATGCGCCATATAAATCAAAATAAAATGCTAAATTACAACAATAGGCTAATTGAACACGTGATTTTGGAAATGTTATGGCCGAAGGAGCTTAGGAATCAGTGTTAACTGTAAACTGGTTGGTTATTTTTTAAACTCTGAATGCTGGACTCTGTTTGCACAATGGGTACAAATCTTGATTTCGATAAAATTGGAGCTGAGGCATAGGTTTAAGGCGCCAAGAATCTAAATAAAATGCTAAATTCAACAATAGGCCGAAGGAGCTTACGGATCCGTGTTAACTGTAAACTGGCTGCTTATTGCTTAAATTCTGAATGCTGGACTCTGTTTGCACAATGTGTACAAATCTTGATTTCAATAAAACTGGAGCTGGGGCATAGGTTTAAGGCGCCATGTGAATCTAAATAAAATGCGAACTTACAACAATAGGCTAATTGAACTCGTATTTTGGAAATGTTATGGCCGAAGGAGCTTATGAATCAGGTTCAACTGTAAACTGGTTGGTTATTGAGGGTCCTTTATCTGTTTCTGTCCCAGCTGGTCCACAGGTGCATGGCAATGGTGATAATGTGGTATCTGCGATGTTCTTTACACTAACTGGATGCAAGTGATGTGTGTTAGTCTGCTTTTCAGTTTCTTCTCCCACCTTTATGTCGAATGTGCTATGTGTTTTTGCCATATCTGGTTCTTGACATTCCCTAGAATGGATAAGTAGTGTTTCTGTCACATTTGCGGGCTATCGTTATGTGCTTTCTCCATGTAGTCGCTGGCTGGACCAAACATTTGTTGCATGACAATTTTTTTTTTATGATTGCTGTTTGTAGAGGAAATAAAGAATACAGTGCAAGCTGGTACCTCAAACGGGTGTGATTGACCTTTAACTTTTCTATCCATTTGCTCTTTCAGGGCCGCAAAGCTCGCGCAAAGACCACGAGGAGCAGCACAGCTGGACGGAACAGAAACAGCAACGGTAACACAGCTTCTTATTCCCCATACTAGTAACACGGTAGAGGGCGACGAACGGTGTAACTGATGATGGCAGTGGTGGTGCAGGGGAGGAGCATAGCAACCATACATTCCAGGAGTCCTGATCGCAAGCTATGATTCTGCCATGTTATCGGTGCCTGAGCGGCGTACAGAGGGCGAAGCACATTATATTGATCAATGTGGCTTGCATGCTCTATCTGTTGCCTCGAGTCCTCTGTGTATTAAGGCTTAAGAGTGTTTTGTTTATCAGTGGATTCTTGGCCGTCCTGTATAGCTAATTGACTAATTCCTTCCAGTAAGTAATACAGTTCATTCCAACACCGAGTTATTTGGTCTGGTGTGTAGTTTTTGGGCCTGCTGTGTTACCATATCCCTTGCTTAAAACTGGATCTGCCAGGGGATCTGATCACTGGCTCCCTGGTCGAACCTCTGGTCATCACAAAGAAGATGCCGATACCACCATGCACACATCCAGTATGCACACATCTACTCCCTCCGTTCCTAAATATATTATAGAGATTCCACTATGAACCATGTACGGATGTATATAGATGCGTTTTAAGTATAGATTCATTCATTTTGCTCCATATGTAGTCCACCTAGTGGAATCCCTACAAAGACTTATATTTAGGAACGGAGGGAGTACATGTTCCTTATGCCTTGTACAATGCAAGATGCTCACGGAAGATGCTTTAAGAAATAAATCAATTTTTCCATAAGTACCAGTGCTTATTTTGTACCCCTCCGTTCCAAATTACTTGTCAAATTGATGCCCCGAATTACTTGTGGCAAAAATGGATATATCTAGACGAAAATTTAGTTCTAAATACATCCATTTCTGCCTGCGATAAGTAATTCGGGACAGAGGGAGTGTGTGTTAGAACAGTGCGCAAGTTCTGGGCCCTTCTCCTATTTCGGCTTTTCCCCTGTTCAAAAGAAAAATACAATTCCACCTTAAACAGGATTCATCTTCGGTAACATGGAAACTAAGCCAAGAGGTGATGGAGTGGCGCTTTTCAGAGCCATTGGGAACTTAATCTGTATGCATCACCAACTGCTGAGCCAACATGCTCAGAACAGGGCAAGTTTTTTTTCTTTTCTTTTCAGAGAGAAGAACAGGGCCAGTTGATTGCAGAACTAAAGCCAAAAGAACCTACACTGGCTTCAATTTCTTCACAGTTCCTCTGAATAAACCTACAGACCAGGGGGCTTGAGAAATGGAATTGGGAACAGGCTCTCCACGTCGATCTGAGTACCAACGATGTTATTCACAAGCTCAGGCGAAGCGGTCGTGCCTTTCCACCCGTTGAACCAGGGACCTCCCCCAACTTCCACCGCTGCCATGTTGCTTGTAGTGTCAAGTACTATCTGCAACGAAACAAGTTAAAGTGTCGTTATTACATACTATTGCCAAAAGGATGTTTTCTAAAAGACTGCTAAATCAAACAGGCATTACATCTTGGTGCAATATGCAAGTTACTTGGAAACAAGTTCATTTTTTTCCACCTCGACTTGTGCAAACAATCAACCATGAATGCATACCTTCCCTTTGCTCCCATCGTATTTCTTTTCCCACATTTGCAGCTTGAGATCTCCATAACATGTGTCTTTGCATGCTGGTACCAATCCAGCCTCCATTGTTGGGGCTCGCAAAGCGGTCCCCGGTTCTTTGGTGGTTGCTTCTATTTCGACCTGTGGAATGTGTCGGAATGCACGCCATATCAGTGCACAGAATGTAATGCCAGTGTCCCCAAAACTTCAAAACACCTCCAGTAATATGACAGCGAAGTGCACAGAATGAGTTCAAGCGCAACGGAGATTGTAGCAATTGAAAACATTTAGGACTACACAACAAAAAAAGTAAAAAGTGTGCATCTGCTCAGTCATGAATACATGTCAAGAAACCCAACACAGATACTGGCAAACATTCAAGCAGGGTTCACATTTTAACTGCATTGGGTAATAATAATAATTACCAGATGATTTTTGTTCTCGCCAGACATCCTCCAGTGACCCCAAGGAGCAATGTCCCAGCTTACTGTCCCAGTCCAAGGCACAAACTCGTAAAATTTTCCCTCGTGATGGACACCAATCTGAACAGAGCAACAAGAGTTTTTATGAGGATAAGTAGCGCCAAATATCTCACTAGTCCATTTGCGGGTAACAGAACAGCAACAGTATGGAACATAATTTCATGTTCTACTTAGAAATAATACTTACTACTCACTATGTTAATTAAGTTGCTTTAAATACTTGTAACAAACAACAAAACAGGTAAAACTGCATTTTATTATCATCTTCGGGTGCCCAATGATATGCAGGAATATGTACTCCCTCCGATCCAAATTAGATGCAGCCACTATACAACATTGTATAGAGGCTGCGTCAGTTAATTCAGATCGGAGGGAGTATATTTGGACTTTCAGAAGGCGGTGCTATTTCCACCACGATATCCTTGTTGGTGGTTTGCCAGCCTGACTGTCATATTTATAAGTGGGGCCAATTGCAAATGCCAAGAGAAATAGGGAAGGGCTGGTCTTTTCCGACAGGAACTTGTTGTAGTGTACTTCTGCATTTTTATCAAGCAATAAGCCACATTGCCCAGTTTACCTCTAATTAACTGAGTGGTGTATGGTTTTTAGCCTAAACAGGGCCAACTCTACTATTCTCAAATAATAGACCCTCCCCTTCCGAGGTTTCTTGGATAAATAAGCCAAAAACAAATCTTCTTTTTGTGCAGATATCCAGAGATCAAGCTTGCATATGCTTGCATGATGAGCTAAGTAACATATAACACAAAATGGAAGTATGCACCACAGATTAAGTTGAAAGTATCAGATACATACCAGTGAAGGACTCTCGTAGGTATCTCCCAATCCAATTTTCCTTAATCCACCAGCAGCAGTTAAAGCAACTTCACCAGATGTGCCTGAGAAGACATTACACTGGATCTGCACGAGCAAAGATGTTACAATTGGTATCTTGGGTTATGCATGCAATTGCGGAGTTAACTAAAATTCTACAACCATACAGAACGAACAGCCTACTTCACAACTATCCAACTTGGAGCCTACGTAACAATTATGGTTAGAAGGCTAAAAAAATATCAAGTGTCCTTGGTAATACTATGTGTCAAGGACCTCGGTGCCCAAGACAGCAGGACCTCGACTACGTAGTTCGTAGTCTCGGTTGATAGGAGCGCTAGGGTTTTTGCCTAACTGCTCAATGGTGCAGGAGAAGAGATTAGGAGTAGAGGAAGAGGTAGGAGATAATGATTTCTTGCTCGCGTCAAAGGGTGCAGATTACAGGATATATAAAGGCCTTATGGGCTTCTAACAAACTAGGAAACTAACTACTCCTGGACTCTAGGAACCAACGTAGAACAAACTAGGAAACTAACTACTCCTGGACTCGTAGGATCAGGACTCCTTGCCCCGATCATGCCTCGCCAGCTGTGGCCGCCGGCTGCTGCTCCTGGGCGCGCGACCCGCGCCTGTACGCAGCGCCCCACATGACACTATGTCTACAGAAGGCGATCTTCAACGTACCACAGATAATAAATAATACGTACATTAATAACAACTGAGGACTGGAATATACTTAGCGTCATCAAGACACCTAATGTGGAGAAATGCCATGCTCAGTGTGACACTATCCAGAATGCTACAGAAGCTTACTGCTCTTGTTCGGTATCTCCGGAGGACTTCTGTCTGGTACCTCTGAGCCAGCTAAGTTTGATTTCAAAGTTCCGACACTCCGAGTGAGTTCTGTCTGAACATCCCTAGATTATCTAGTAGCAAAATCATGTGTTCCAGTATAGTTCAGATCCTCCGAATGATGTGTGGTGGGAGCCTCCTGGCAGTAGCAAAATCCCTGTGTCCCAGTATAGTTCAGACCCTCCCTCCGAGCTCCCCTCCCCCCTCCCCCCATCAAAGCCTTTGTGGACATATCACTTCCTCCATTCAGAGCCTCCGAGAGACTTTTCTCTGGATCCTCCAAGGTATATTCTTTCGGCTTTGGACTCTGTGTGATATGGTCAGACCCTCTGAGCCAGTTGGAAGTTACCACCCTTGGCCCATTTGGAACCTTAAGAGTGATTTTGCCCGGAGCCTCCGAGCTGTGCTAATTAGTGTCTAACGGTAAGATTTCTAAGTCTAGCCCATAAATAACCCTATCCCATCCCACAATGTGCCAAGTCATCCCAAACACTTCACAGCTCATTTGCTCCAAGTTTCAAGCCATATTTTCAGAGCTCTCCTCCCATGAGATTCATTCCTATCCTTTGAACCTCTCATCCTCTCCTACCCTAGATCCATCCTAGGAGATTCTGAGAGTGGAGGACAATATCTTTTAGAGCACAATTAAGGGATTCATAACCAAGTAACCCCATTTTTTGTTACTTTTTGGGGTGCGTGTCTCATAAATTGGCTAGGTGTGCTTAGGAGCCTTCAAGATGTGAAGGAACCAAGAAGATTATGAGAGGCTTCCTAAGTGTCCGCCATGGTGGGATAGGTGGGCCAAGGTGCTTTGTGCGGCCCAGGACTTTGTGTCCTAAACGTTTGTGGTCATTTGGACGAGACTTTGTGTCCGAATCTCCACCAACGAGGGGTAGGATTGCGCCAACAATCGTAACCTCGGGGCAAATCCTTGTGTTGGTTGCGATATCTATCCCACACTCCATTTACTTTCATTAAAGTTTGCTTTATCTCTTTCAGTTCATAGTCTTGCATGTGTAGGGTGTTTTACACAAATGTAGCTTAAAAGTCAAATTCCATCGACTAAAACTGTCTGGTGCTTCTTTGTGATAATCTATTCGCCCCATGTAGACTCCAACATTGACTAGCCAAAACGTTGGCTAGAGATTCCTCTACCTTTTGTTCGACAGCTGGCAAGAATTGTGAAGAGAATGTGAGGAGGGTGGGCAAGTTTTCATGGGCAGCCAAAATTTGGGAAACCAACCAAGCAAGAGTCAAGATATCATAGGCTGCCAATTTTTTGGCCGGGTTAAATATGGGCACCGATAAACATACATAAGGACAGAACAAGAATACAAGAGTGAGACCGATGATAATGAAATATGTATAATGCATTTTGCTTATAGAATTCTATCTTGTCAACAAGTACATACATTCTTTCACATCAATTTATACTGAAACCATGGGTGAAGATTAATGGCAATACAGAACCAAAACTACAAAGTAGCCTATTTTCTGATCCTTAAATGAGTTACTATGCGCTCCATATTTTGATCTATATGAATCAAGACTAATAGAAGATCAAAGCTCAGAAAGAGGATAGAGAAACACACCCAGTACCACTTCCTGGGGAACCCCCCACCCCAGTTCTTCTCTGAGTAGGAGGGAGCATTTTCAAATTCAAACCGTTCTCCATCCCATTCTATCCATCCTGGAAAGTACTCACACATCACAGAAACCAATATAACTCAATAATCTGGATAGGTATATCCCTATATGAAGTATTAGAAATCTTTTATATATCAAGCACATTCACATTAGTTGTTCCATGAAGCAAACCAGCTTCAAAAGTGTCTTTACATCAGATAATATCATACTACTGCTACGACTAATGACTCACAAAATTGTAGATGTCTGCTATAACCATGAAAGAAATGTGGAAAACATACCTTTTAACAAACAATAACGTACTAAAATGTAGGACTGGACTGGAGAAGTTATTCAATGGAAGATAAAAATTGGACTCAAAGACAAGATAAGACTAGATGCAACTCCTGGTATGTGCTGATTACCTGAATGCAACTACGATTTTTGTGAACATTATTAAAGGGGAAAAGATTGGATGAAGCGAAGTTTATGAGCACATCCAATTTTGTATTTCGGATTAAGAATTACAGCTCCACTGAACATGGTAATTTCACACATGAGAGATGACCCTGTCCTTCCATAAAATTAATCAGCAGTACATGTGCCATCTTCGAGATAGTTCTACACATGAGGGACGAACATCTCCTTCATGAAATTAATTGATGGTAAAAACAAACCTGTGGATAGGCCACCTGCCATGCATATCTGCCAATGAGGTTCAAAGAATGGAAAAGCAGCAAGCCAACCAGCTGTTGACTTCTGCTTAGATGTGAAATCACCCCAGCCATACACTGGACGGGTGCTGTACTCCCAACGAGCTGTTTGGACGTTTGGCACATACTTTGACCTGTGAGGGGCAACAACTACCTTCAATTAGAATATAAAAAAGTGTGCATACATTTTTTACCCAATCTCCATGTCAACAACTTATATGGTACATTTTGCTGCAGTTATAGGAGGCAGCTTTAAGTTTACCCTGTTTTGTACAAGGGCTTGGAAAGGCTCTCGCCACTACAAGCAAGATAGAAGAACTGTTCTTGTAGTACTTCCTTTATTCCACATTGGGTGGGGGGGTGGGGGTGGGAGGCTCTTCGTATAGAGGCATAACAATCCAATCCAATCCAAGTAACAAATCATAGATCTTATCTCTAACTAGCTTAACGCCCAAGTTAAACAATATATTCTTAATTTAAATGACAAATTTCTTAACTGGGAGATCACAGGGATCCTCTCCCCAACTTGGTACTGGGCGCGCCCACACCTCTCTAGAGGCTCGTCCACGAGCTGCTAGGGGAGGCCACTGGCAGCCCAAGGAAGCCCCAGACTGAAGATAACACATTATGAGGCTTCACCTTGTGGCAAGGAAAAACTTGCGTCTCTTTGGCCCTGCACCCGTAGTGGAGGCCATACTGGCCTAGGGTAGAAGGCACCGTCTTCATCCATTCACACACGAACGGCATCAATTCTGAAAAATGTTGAAACGCCGCCGCCACTGCTCAACTATGGAAGGCCACTGACTCAATGAAAGCATTGTCTGTGATTTGTTTATCTTCACTTACACTAAGATGTGATCAGGATCTTCATCGCAATATTTCTTAATGTTGTCTAGAACCATGGCTATATATTTTGAACCATATTTCAGTGCCATAAAATTTTAACTACATGATGTAGTTCTCACACATGAAAGGGCGATAATGGTTCAGTAACAACAAATGTAATGCTTCTAAATAAGCAACCTACTAATCATTAAAAGCACAGATCTTCAACAAACATGGGATTTCACATGCCTTCCGTCATCACGTATGAAGCCCTGATGCCAAGTTGGTGTGACTTGGTAGCCTTCCAAAACGCGATTAGAAAATTCCTAAATCATCAAACATAATAACTGTTCAGAATTTCAGGAAGTCTTTGCAAGTCATAAGACTGTAGAGAACTTAAAATCCATGAATCCCCAGAAAGACAACTGGAAATATGTGACGTCAGCACAAGAATTAAAATCCCATTTTCAGGTCATTCAAAGACTTGCAATCTGGGCTAGTATCTAATCATGCATGCATCTGTACTGGAAATTTTTCTTTCCCGAGATTTTTTTTTGTTTTTGCTTTCAGTTACTCGACAGCAGAAGCAGTTATATCAACAAGAAATGTCACAACAAGATGGTCAGTAAGTACATTAAGGCAACATACAATGGGAAGCAAAGTAATATATAAGAAGTGGGAGTAAATCAATCTTCTCACATAGTTACCCGCAAAAAAAAAAAAAACTCCTTACATAGTTGTTAAGAACCTAAGACTACGCCAGAAACAAAGAATAGAAATAAAGCATTACCAAGTATAAAGCTTCAAGACATACAAATCTGTTAATTCAATGGAAAATCTTGCACACAGTCTAGCAAGTTAGATGAACATGGAAGAATGTAATACATAAATAGATAACTAGTGTAGAGACGGAAAACAAGTTATAACCACAAATCAAACAAGAAAATAATCCTTTTCGAATGATTCGCTAGGTGGCAAGTAGACATGGAGCAGCTCAGCACATGCCATTCAATATGTTTTAGTAGGAAGTCATACTAAGGAAGAAAAAACTTTAGAACATAAAACTGGCTCTCAAATTTCATAAGAAGCCATAAATCATCTACCTGAGGAGGGATTTCACGCTCCGGGGGAGTTGAGCCTTTATTGGGAATGAAAGTGTTTCCGAGAATTAGCTCATGTCGACCTATTGAATTGCAGCTTATTAATTGGGAAATCCACAGAGTGATGAATTGCAAAACTTGAAGCAAACAGGGAAAGTAATACTAATTGTCAGACAACAGAAAAATGAGCGAAATAAGTTTGCATCTTGGTTTAGTTTCGCTGCTTGGTTGTTAACGTGCAGTAATTCCTCATAGGTAAATAAACGGGGCTTCCAAAAATATGCAGTTGATCTATACTTATTTGTTGAAGAGAAACACTGAGATATTATAGCTCTATTTATCTATTATGATTTACAATGTATTGAAATATAAGTTTGTGACCGTGATGATGTCTGAAATGTCGCTATTTTGTGACTGAAGGTACTAGTTGATGTCCGATAACCTCCTGTTTGGTGCAAATTAAAAAAAGAAGACCAGATTAGTGGTTCAACCAAATAAAACCGAGTAGGGGTTCGACCGGGAAAAATCAGACCCAATGCTTTCTCTGGTCTGGTTCCCAATCCTTTTGAGATTTCTCGAATAGAAATAACAGATTATGCAACGTACAGAACTAGTTTTGTGAGGATATTTTTGGTGATGGATTATCCAGCTTCACGTTTGTATTTTCATCAAATGTAGAGCATAAGATCTCATATATATATATATGACAACACAACTACATTTCATTAGAACATTAATGACCAATACTGTTTATTTTGGCTCTATAAACCTCATTGCAAGAAATATAGCTCTACCAGCTAATACATAGACAATGACAGTACCATACACGCCACAATCTTATTATGTCAACTTAATCTCAATAACTAAAATGTTTCTAGGGCAGAAGTGCCAGAAAAGAAGCATTTGTAAGGAAAAACAATTGAAGAGAAGAGACTGAACAAGTATCTTACTCCCCCAAAAGTTGTTTGATTTTTCAGAGAACTGGCATATGTACTTGTCATCCGCACCAAGAATCTGCGCTCCCACACCGGTAAACCGTGGACCATACAATGTCTGGTCGAGAGCAGTCATCCCATCACGAAAGAATGGGTTCTCAACAGAGTACATGAAACAGAAGCTCTGCCTGCATTCTGGAATGGAGACCTTGAAGTACCATCCTTCAAAGAAAGCCCTGGCGGTTCCATCATAGTGATACCTGCAAACAGTTCACCGCCACTATTAGCCTCTGAATCTCCTGCAACATGAACATAGTGTCACATCACAGTCCTGGAAGCTTGTGAATGCAGAGCAGCACATTAGCAGCATTCTACAGAATCTCAGCCCACCCCACTTGAGAGCTGCATCATATCAGGTTGGGGTTAAATTCAGTGAGCCCTTATTCAGAAAACCAAGCATGCGGACGGCTGGGGGTGAATCTGGGAACTAGAGCTACATTTCTTCAACCAAAACAGACAAATCGCCATGCGCCTGATTCAGGAACTCTGATACCATATACAGAAATGAACGAACCCTCCGAATCGGCCGTTTATAATTATTACCCGCTGTGCGGCGTCCGCAGAGGCCGATCCCGCGGAGTGGGGGCGTAGACGGGCGCCGCCGGCGGCGGCTCGGTGGCGGCGCGTGGGCTCAGGTTGCAGCGGGCGCTGGGGCGCCAGAGCGGCCGCGGGGCGCGGGGCGCTGGCCTGGCGGTCGGCACGAAAGCGGTGGCGGGGCCGGCGACGTTCATGTGGCTGAGCAGCGGGGCTATGGCGTGGGGGCACCGCGCACGCGGGAGTTGTGCTGGTCCCGTTGCGTCTCTGGTTTTGCTCCAGCAGTGGTTGCCTTGCCTCGCTGAACGGTGGCTCGTGTAGTCCAACTGTCCAAGTGTCCAACTGCGGTCGTGGCGCACGAGAGGCTCGACAGGTTGCGTTTTGCATGCGGGGGTCGTCTTGGCACGCGGTGGGTTCAGAGAAACTCGTGGTCCACGTGTACAAGGAAGAGCATCTCGATCTTATATAATAAAAAAGAAGAAGAGGAAGAAGAGCATTTCGGGTCGCCCCTTTTCTCCGAGAGCATCTGCAACATGCACTCAATTGTTATTTTAGCAATCTTGGCCAAAAATTCTCCTCCGACAGCCTTTGTATAAGTGGTTTCATAAATAAAATTGTAAAGCTTGCTATACTTTCATCCAGATTTTGTATATTTGCAAAGTAGAGAGGTCACTTGCTATAATTTTTCAAAGCCTTCTAAAATGGCCCCCTTCATATTTTCATCTCAATGGCCGATAGGCCATGTATGCTGCGCGCGTGTGTGCGCTGTGTGATGTGTACGTGTGTTGTGTGTGCATGTACGTGTGATGAATTGTGTGCGTGTGTACCTTTTTTGCATGCCGCATGTGTGTGTGCTTTGTATGTTTGTTTGTATGGATTTTTTCATGAAGTGTGTACGTGTTATGTGTGTATATGACCTGTGGCGAGTTGGGGTAGTATATACATTCATGTACGTAAACTAGTGTGTAGTGGGTATGACAAACTGTCCACACATGACAAAACACGTTTGTACAAATATACCAATCCAATATACAAAGGTTGCCAAAGCAAAAAACACGTTCACTTTGTAAACCTTCTCTCTCCTCTTGCTATAACAAGTTTTTAGCAATTCAATATACAAAAGCTGTTGGAGATGCTCTCTGCATTTCGGGTCACATGGACAGTAGGAGCGCTGCGCTCCTCGCCGAACCCCTTTTCCTTTCTTTCGGGTTACGCGTAAACACGGACCATTTTACCAGTCACCTACGACTTGCGTCATGTAGGTCTTTTGCCAATTACAACATTGTCCATGCGTTAATAAAAGGATTACAACATGGTCCATGTTACTATCACCTCCAACAACGATGACGGGCTCGCCGCAGCTCCAACTCTTGCAACACAATACATGTTGCAGCACCAGCGGCTAGCGACCTTGCAATAATGTGTATGTTTTTTTGCAGGACCTGGCAAGCAAGCACGGTGTATTGTGTTAGCATTACTTACATCCTTATAGGATGAGATTAATGTACAACCTTATACTAAATGGTTTGCTTGGGGTTGCCCAATGTTTTCCATAGCGGTGAGATCATTAAGGTAACTTATTGGTACACCGAAGATGTATGCCAAGGTTCTTGATGAAGACTGGAATTTGCTCCTTGGATGATGGAGAGATACTCTCAGGACCCACCTGATATTATGGTATCCATAATCAACTGCCCAGACACAGTGATAGTGATCACATGGATACCGAAATACGGAAACAAGAAAAGAGAACAAAACTGATGACAAGGATAACAAATATATAATGATCAAAGTGTTGATCATGGAAAAACTGGCTTTGCCTTGGGTTTTGTATAAGTATCACAAAGGAAAGGAAAGTGTATACAAAAATAAAAGGTTCACCAGATAAAGATCTTTGTGTATGTGTGGGAGTTAACATGGGTGTCAAGATCCACCATTAATTATTGATTGGAAAGTGTTTCGGTTAATGTCCACATATTACTGAACGCGTAGGGTCACATTCTTAATGACTTATTTGTTAGAGAACTAGAAGGTCATAGGAGAATGAGAGAAGGACATTGGAAGAGTTCCAAATGGATCCGAGAGAGAGAGTGCGGGGGAGTGTCTCGAAAGTGATCGAGAGCGCCACAAAATTTTATAGAAGGCTCCAAAAGGCTCTAGAGGGTTTCAGAAAGTTTTGGAATATTCCCCCGGGACCTAATGAGTTGTCCCCCTGGCTGGCTCAAGAGGCAACACCTAATGGGCCACAATGGGCCTACAGGGGCGCCACCCCTTGTCTTGTGGGCCAAGCCAAGGTGTTGTTGTTGGGGAACGTAGTAATTTCAAAAAAAATCCTACGCACGCGCAAGATCATGGTGATGCATAGCAACGAGTGGGGAGAGTGTTGTCCACGTACCCTCGTAGACCGAAAGCGGAAGCGTTAGCACAACGCAGTTGATGTAGTCGTACGTCTTCACGATCCGACCGATCAAGTACCGAACGCACATCACCTCCAAGTTCAGCACACGTTCAGCTCGATGACGTCCCTCGAACTCCGATCCAGCCGAGCTTCGAGGGAGAGTTCTGTCAGCACGACGGTGTGGTGACGATGATGATGTTCTACCGATGCAGGGCTTCGCCTAAGCACCGCTACGATATTATCGAGGTGGAATATGGTGGAGGGGGCATCGCACACGGCTAATAGATCTCAAGGATCAATTGTTGTGTCTAGAGGTGCCCCCTTGCCCCTGTAAATAAAGGATGGAGGAGGGGAGGCCGGCCAGCCCCTAGGGTGCGCCAGAAGTGTGGAGTCCTAGTAGGATTCCTCCTCCCACATGGAATAGGAAAAAGGGAAGAGAAAAGGAGAAGGAAGGAAGGGGGCGCCCCCTCCCTAGTCCAATTCGGACCAGACCATGGGGAGGGGTGCGGCCACCTTTTGAGGTCTTTCTCTCCTTTCCCGTATGTCCCATTAAGGCCCAATACGAATTCCCGTAACTCTTCGGTACTCCAAAAAATACCCGAATCACTCGGAACCCTTCCGATGTCTGAATATAGTCGTCCAATATATCGATCTTTACGTCTCGACCATTTTGAGACTCCTCGTCATGTCCCCAATCTCATCCAGAACCGTCATCGAACTTTAAGCGTGCGGACCCTACGGGTTCGAGAACTATGTAGACATGACCGAGACACATCTCCGGTCAATAACCAATAACGGAACCTGGATGCTCATATTGGCTCCTACATATTCTACGAAGATCTTTATTGGTCAAACCGCATAACAACATACGTTGTTTCCTTTGTCATCGGTATGTTACTTGCCCGAGATTCAATCGTCGGTATCTCAATACCTAGTTCAATCTCGTTACCGGCAAGTCTCTTTACTCGTTATGTAATACATCATCCCGCAACTAACTCATTAGTCACATTGCTTGCAAGGCTTATAGTGATGTGCATTACCGAGAGGGCCCAGAGATACCTCTCCGACAATCGGAGTGACAAATCCTAATCTCGAAATACGCCAACTCAACATATACCTTCGGAGACACCTGTAGAGCTCCTTTATAATCACCCAGTTACGTTGTGACGTTTGGTAGCACACAAAGTGTTCCTCTGGTAAACGGGAGTTGCATAATCTCATAGTTGTAGGAACATGTATAAGTCATGAAGAAAGCAATAGCAACATACTAAACGATCAAGTGATAAGCTAACAGAATGGGTCAAGTCAATCACATCATTCTCCTAATAATGTGATCTCGTTAATCAAATGACAACTGATGTCTATGGCTAGGAAACACAACCATCTTTGATTCAACGAGCTAGTCAAGTAGAGGCATACTAGTGACACTATGTTTGCCTATGTATTCACACATGTATTATGTTTCTGGTTAATACAATTCTAGCATGAATAATAAACATTTATCATGAAATAAGGAAATAAATAATAACTTTGTTATTGCCTCTAGGGCATATTTCCTTCAGTCTCCCACTTGCACTAGAGTCAATAATCTAGTTCACATCACCATGTGATTTAACACTAATATTCACATCTACATGTGATTAACACCCATAGTTCACATCGTCATGTGACCAACACCCAAAGGGTTTACTAGAGTCAATAATCTAGTTCACATCGATATGTGATTAACACTCAAAGAGTATTAAGGTATGATCATGTTTTGCTCGTGAGAGAAGTTTAGTCAACGGGTCTGTTACATTCAGAGCCGTATGTATTCTGCAAATATTCTATGTCTTCAATGCTCTACACAGAGCTACTCTAGCTAATTGCTCCTACTTTCAATATGTATCCAAATTGAGACTTAGAGTCATCTGGATTGGTGTAAAAGTTTGCGCCGATGTAACTCTTTACGACGAGCTCTTTTATCACCTCCATAATCGAGAAACATCTCCTTAGTCCTCACTAAGGATATTCTTGACCGCTGTCCAATGATCTACTCTTAGATCAAAATTGTATTCCTTTGCCAAACTCAGAGCAAGGTATACAATAGGTCTGGTACACAACATATCATACTTTATAGAACCTATGACTGAGGCATAGGGAATGACTTTTCATTCTCTTTCTATTTTCTGCCATGGTCGGGTTTTGAGTCTTACTCAACTTCACACCTTGCAACACAGGCAAGAACTCCTTATTTGACTATTCCATTTTGAACTACTTCAAAATCTTATCAAGGTATGTACTCATTGAAAAATCTTATCAAGCGTCTTGATCTATCTCTATAGATCTTGATGCTCAATGTGTAAGCAGCTTCACCGAGGTCTTTCTTTTGAAAAACTCTTATTTAAGTATCCTTTTATGCTATCCAGAATTTCTATATCATTTCCAATCAACAATATGTCATCTACATATAGTTTTAGAAATGCTACAGAGCTCCCACTCACTTGTAAATACAGGCTTCTCCAAAAGTCTGTATAAAACCATATGCTTTGATCAACTCATCAAAGCGTATATTCCAACTCCGAGATGCTTGCACCAGTCCATAGATGGATCGCTGGAGCTTGCATATTTTGTTAGCACCTTTAGGATTGACAAAAACCTTCTGGTTGCATCATATACAACTCTTCTTTAATAAATCCATTAGGGAATGCAGTTTTGACATCCATTTGCTAGATTTCATAAAATGTGGCAATTGCTAACATGATTCGGACAGACTTTTAAGCATCGATATGAGTGAGAAAATCTCATTGTATTGAACAC